CACTCGGCTCCTCTCTGAACAGGCTGCAGAGCAGCCTGGCCTGAGCCCCTCTTGGTTAGGGGGTCTGAGGGAGCACCTCTGGGCCGGGCCAGCTGGGTCCCACAGCTATGGCATTTATTCTTGCGCGTCCCCGATGGCTCCTGACCAGGAGACCCAGAGCTGCTAAGGCTGGTGCTGGGCCCTAGGATGTGTCCAGCTGGTGTTCTCTGGGCTGTCTGCCCACAGCCTGACGGCCAGCAGTGGCCAATCTGCCCAGGGCTCCTCCATAGGCCCCAAGACTGCGCCTGGCCTCTGTCCCCTGCTCGTGCCTGGGGACCAGGCCCTAGGTGGGCGTCCAGATGGGCAGGGGGTGGGCCTCGGTGTTGAAGACGTAGGCATCCAGGCTGAGCAGGTCGGCGTCCTCGGAGAAGAGCAGGTACAGGTACTTGAGCGTCTCCCCCAGGAAGAAACTCTCCATTTTGTCCCGTGGGTCAGGCTTCTTGGGGTCCTGGACGTTGTTGATGGAGGAGTAGCCCCCCGTGGGGACCTGCATGGGGCCAAGGCCGGGGGTCACCAGCTCTGTGGACACACCCCACCCTGACCCCACCTGAGCCCCTGGTGAATGCCAGTCCCCAGCAAGTGTCCTGTGAGCACCCACCGCCCTCACCAGCTGCCATTTGCCCTAAGTGCCTCCTGTCGATGAGTATTCACACCTGCCCAGTACACTCACCAAAGGGCACCCTCTGCCCCCAGGGCCACCCCCAGAGAAGCTACCCTCCCCTTTGCACACTCACTCTCCCATTGGGGCTACTCCCACCACTCCCGAGGTGTCCACTACACCCAAAGCAAAGGTGCTCTGGTGTCCCAGGCGCCCTCCCTGGGCACGCACACCACCTCACCCGCGTGTAGGCGTTGAAACTCTGCAGGATCTCCCAGCCCCAGTCCTGGTACTTAGCGTCCCCGGTACAGCGGTGCAGGTAGAACAGGCTCTCCACTGTCTCCGGCCGTAGCAGGTTGTGCCTGTCTGCCGGCTGCAGAAAGGGTGGGCTCAGCCAGGACACTGGCCGGGGGTCACCGCAGGCCAGGCCCGGAGCCCCGCAGCACTCACCTTGACCTCCACATCCTGGTGGCCCTCCTGGGGGACCACGTTGAAGTGGGCGATCTCGGGGCTCAGCCCCGTCGCCATCTGGCGGTTCATCTGGTAGCAGGTCTCCATCAGCCCCTTGGCCAGGTCCATGTGCTCAGCTGGCAGCCCGTGGTGGGCGCCCAGGGCCAGGGTGCCAGGCAGGAAGCACACCAGGTGGTCCTGGGAAGCAGAGGGTCCCTGGTCGCTGCCGGCCAAGCCAGCCAGCGAGGGAGGGCGGGCAGCGGGCAGCAGAGACAGTGCCGGAGCCCAGCACCACCTTGGGCCCGGGCCTGGCCGCAAAGACCGTCCGTGTCAAGCAGCAGAGGCCTAGCTCCTCCACCAGCTTCCTCACGCCCTGTCCCTGCAGCTTCGGGGTGGGCAAGTGGCTGGTCTTGGAGCCCAGGCCGCAGCACTCACCATCTTGGCGCTGAAGCGGCCGTGGGCGAGCTCCCCGACGAAGGTGAGCTTGCTGGGCTCTGAGCGCCTCAGCAGGTGCCTCTTCACGCCCTCGACGGCCTGCACGTAGTCCGCCCGGAGCCTGCAGACGGCACGGCTCCGCCTCAGACACGCGAGACCCGGCTCCACCACCACCACCATGTGGCGCCCTGGCCATGGCCCTGCGGGAGGCCTGGTGGGAAGGGGGCTCTGAGGGGTCTCCTGCTCCACACACCAGGGTCCTGAGTCAGAGCCATCCTGATGTTGTCTCAGCCCTGGGCCTAGAGGGCCTCTTTCCTACCTCAGCCCCTGCTGCTTCAGTTCTGGGGAGTCACTGATGGGAGCCCCACAGGATGACTGTGAACTGTCCTGCAGCTCCGGGGACAGGCATGTTAGTGATGGTGACTAAGCTCCCTGTGCCATGCTGAGCTGGTACTCCCTCCCGGGGAGGATGACAGCAGTCAGCTCAGCTGCTCTGGCGGGGCGGGGCTGGGCGGGGCTGGGCGGGGCCGGGGCCTCACCGCATCTCCTTCTTCCCGCCCTGCAGCCACTGCTTCAGCAGGTACTCGTAGTAGCTGTCAGCGCGGGCACCCAGCGTGAACATGCCCAGGTGCGTGAAGTGGCCACTGTGCGTGCTGATAAACATGGGCACCAGCCCATCCTTCTTCCCAGACAGCGTGTGCACCCGCCGCGTCACCTCCTCCACAGCCTCCTGCAGGGGGACAGGGCAGGGCTCCTGATGGCCCCACTTCCCAGGGACACAGCTGCTGCCGAGGCCCAGGTGGGAGAGGGACAACAGAACCAGGGCTCAAAGCTGTCCCGCCGGCCACACAGACTGCTGTGGACCCTTCGGGCCTCTCCGGAACCTGTGGCCTTCAGGCTCCCTGCCCAGGGCACTGAAAGCCGACAGGCGCACGCCCCACGCCTTATCCTTCTGGGAATGCGTCCATGACAAAGGCAGCAGCACACAGAAAGCTGTATCTAGAGCACCTTTCTTCTGCCACCCCTGGGGGCTCCAAGGTGGCATGGGCTCCCTGTCCAACCTCCCTCCACAAAACAACACTCCAACGATCTGTGAGATGATGTGGGAGGGAGCAGGCTAAGTAAAGGGAGTGAACCAGTCAGAACACGTGACTCCTTGACTGTGATTTGGGGACCCTCCACCCTCACTGCACAGGAAGCTACTAGGGGAAGTGGGGTGGGGGATCTGCAGAGACTGTGCTGGCCCTCCCAGCAGGCAGCCTGTATCCCCCCTCCCCACCAGTGGAGGCACCTCCAGATCCTGCTACTGCCTGGGCTGGGGAGGGGCAAAGCTCCTTGTTCTGCTCGGGCCTTGTACACAGCTGGTGGTGGTGCGGGGGGACTTGGGGCAGGTGGAGGATTGCACATGACTCCCAAAGAGGGCCAGGGTCCAGGGTGGGCAGAGGCAAACTCCCACCATGCATGAGGCCTGCAGGGGGCATATGGTGGCCACTGTTTGCCACCCTGTCACTGTTCAAAGCCTGTAGGAAGACAGGTCAGTAGTCCCGCCAGGGCTGCGCAGTGTGGAGGATTGCACATGACTCCCAAAGAGGGCCAGGGTCCAGGGTGGGCAGAGGCAAACTCCCACCATGCATGAGGCCTGCAGGGGGTATATGGTGGCCACTGTTTGCCACCCTGTCACTGTTCAAAGCCTGTAGGAAGACAGGTCAGTAGTCCCGCCAGGGCTGCGCAGTGTGTGTGTGTGTGT